CCCCAAAACCCCAAAACCCCAAAACCCCAAAACCCCAAAACCCCAAAACCCCGGGGAGATATTGGGAGGTTGAATAAGGAGAATTTAGGTGCGAGTTTTGGAGGTGGACTGGTGGGGGTCTGGATTTGGGGGTTAGAGGGGAAGCTTACTTTGTAGGAGATGGGTGAATATTTCAGCGTAGGCTGGGTATTTGGATTGGAGGGATTTGGTATTTGAGATGTGGGTGAGGTATTCGTCAGCGTCTTTTTGAGTGAAGTTAAGCTCTTCAAAGCATATCTTCAATACTTTTAGCACTTCAGTGTTGAACAGTTCTTTTGAATTAAGAGTATCAAGAACTTTAATCCAATAAGCTTTTGTAAATTCTTTGCCAGATTCGATTACGTTCTTCATATAATCTAAGATATACTGTGCATGCTGAACTTCTTCAAGGTTCAAAAGACTGAGTCTTTTGCAAATGACATAGTATGTTCTGGCTCATGTCTCTGCAACTTTCTTGTACTGCTCAATTCTATCTTTTTCTGCGTTTATCCTCATTGACTCAATATCATAATGAAAATTCTTTCTCTTGATACCTTCTGGATGGTTCGGATCCTCAATTACAAAGTTCTTACTCTTTGAGGACAAATTATAAGGCCGATCTAAAAAGAGTTATAATGCCTTTCAAAGTATAATAATTAAAAACATAAAAGTTACCTCATATGAGAGTATCAAGTGTCTCTACAAGTTCTTTTCCCATTCTTCCTTTCTTTTCATAATACTGCATTCACAGTTGTTTAAGCTTGTAGACACTATCGAATTCAAGAGAGTTAGGATCAGGATTATAGAAAAGATCATGTAAGACTCTAGCAAATCCTCCTCTTTTATTAAACTCAAAAAGCTCTTGATCTAGTCTCATTTTCTCTTTCTTTTTGGATTCTTCAAGGTCTTCTAACTCTTTACTAGTCATCTCTTCAACTACTTTTCCTATGGTATTTTCTTGCCTATTTGCATCAGCCTCTTTTGCTTTAAGACGTCTATAGTTTTAAATTCAACTATTACCTTTGCTGAGCTAGTTCATGGACTTTAAATCTCTCGCTGAGTAATTTCTGAAATTTAGGATCTTCTAAATGCTCAAATAAGATCTTCTTATAATCATTAAACTCTAGCACTTCCATAAGCTCTTGAGGGAATACTTTCTTTACCTCATCAAGGTCTTCTTGAGTAAGATCCTCTACTCTAGTTGCCTTCTTTATATTATTCAACCTTGGGTCTGTCTGAGAAATATTAGCCCAATTGGTTTCCATTGAAAATGAGGATCTATTGAGTGTGCTGATCCTTCTCCCTCTACTCAAATTCACCATATCACCAATAACAGAAGGGGATGCTTTATTAAATTTTTCCTTTATCTTATTCTGAACAAAGCGGTTAGAAGAGAACGAATTCAATCCTGTTCCTCTCCTCCGGACAGAATTAACCCCACTTGTGTTAATCTTTTGAGGATTAAGTTGATCACCCATTTCAGATTCCTCTGCATGAGTTTTAAGAGATTTCTTTCTAACTTCATTAAGCTTATCTTCTTTATCTTTCATAAGATCAGAAAGTTCTTCTATCAGCATTTTTGACCAATTAATTTGACCGTTATCGCTTGATTTATCGCCTAGAAATTATTTTAAATTCTTACTTCTTTTCTTGCTAACCGATTGGTCATTAGTGTTTTGACCCAATGTTCCCTTCCTAGTAAATTCTTGCTCTTTCTTCAAGAAGTTCTTGAGAGGCAACAGAGAGATGTATGGCTGGATAGGCTTCGAATTTATATAAGACACCATCCGAACTTCTTCATCCTCAATAGAAGGTCTCGTGGGTTGATAATCGAGTATGTTGTTGATAGATTTATGGTTTTCATTTGAAATACTATTGTTCTCTCTCACTATAAAAGAAATGGTGTTATTCTCAGTATTAACGTTCTTCATCTCTTCTACATATTTCTCCTTAATCTCTCTAAACCTTGTTAGATAATCTTCGCTGGAATCTCTATCCCGCTTTGTAATTTGGAAAGAGGAATTTACTCTCCTGCGGCTAGAATTTGTCACAGGAGCTGAACAATATTGAGTATCAGGTAGTTCTGTCTTAAATATCCTGCTTTTCTCTCTAGATTTTCCAGAAATAGCTGAAGAATCACTATCAAGTCTCATCAATCTTGCCTTTTTATTTAGAGATGTATGATTCCTTTAATGGTAGATAGTAAGAATTTTGATGATCCTGGAAAATTCTTCCAATAGAATGCCCATGTCTTGCTGCCTTTACTCTTTTGACAGACTTAGAAATCTCTTGCTTCAAAGCAGTAGATCCATCCTTCACATTAGATATCAGCTTGAAGTAAGGAGTATTGAGTTTCTTATTGTCAACATAACGTGGTTTCTCCTGTATGACCTCCTCATCACTAGAATCTCCTTGGTCTTGATCATTCTTGTTCTTAGTTTGATAATATTGCCTTTCTCTTTTGATTTCTAGAAGTTTAGCATTAATTTACCTTGCTTTATCTCATCTAAAGCCTTATTTATTCTTCTTTATAATGTTTAGAGTTCTTTTTGGAGGTTTTTCCTTTAAGATAGGATTTTTAGAGGCCTTCATCATATTTATTGCTTTTAGCAGATCAATCTTTGTTGGTTTTGTATGAGGTATACTTTTCTTACACTTCTCAAAAGCATGAACAACGTTACTGAACCTTCCGAGTGGTTCATAAGTTTTATCTTGAGGTGCACCTATAGTGGGAGGTTAGATCAACAACCCTACGCCACCCTTTCTTTTTATTCTCTTCAATTTCCTTTTCTCTTTTAATATGATGGCTATTTTAGATCGTTGCTAAAGAAAAATTAGAATTCAAAGTTTGTAAAAATAAACGTACAATATAATGCCGTAGTTTGACCTGTGAATGATTTTATCAGCTCCATATCTCATTTCAAAGTCATAATCACTTTCAAGTCTTTTCTTCTGTCCTAGTAGAAAAGAGTTAATCATAAGCTTAGCCATATTCTTGACACTTACCTTCCATAAAGGTGTTAGCTTTGCCTAATTGATGATCTCTACTCATTTATTTTTAAAATATAAAATATTTTATGTTTTTCGGGGTTTTGGGGTTTTGGGGTTTTGGGGTTTTGGGG